TATTAGGTATCTGTGAAATTCAGTTGGATTACAACAATCCCTTTGGTCTCCAAATATATGGGACTGCTTGATCATTTCTCAAACCAAAGAAAGGAGCAGCAGCAGCACAGAAGATCACAAACATCCTGTCAGTTATGGCTCAGGTATGTTATCTAAATTCACTGTCATTTTAAATCTGACAATAATTCATAATAGGTTAAAATAATATTTCACCCAAAGATGAAAATTCAGTCATCATTTACTCAGCCTCATGTCGTTGAACCTCTTACATCTTTTTTGTTGTTGTTGTTGTTGTTGCCTGAACTGAAATGATGCATTTTGGCCAATTTGTCCTGCTCTTTTTTTTTGTGTACACAATAAAAGTCAATGGTGAATTCCTGTTCTGAATCTTCAAATGTAACATGTAATTTTTTAATGCTTTTGAAGCTTCAGAAGAGAAACTCACCTTTCTGTCATTTTATCATCAGAAATGAGCAAGACAAACTAACCAAATTTTGCATTTTATGTAAGGGAGTCTAAAAGATAAAACAACTGATAATGATTTTCTTTTGGTGAATTATCCCTTTAAAGCCTGGAGTATATACAGCATATGCTAAAATGTTCATATGTGCATAATTCATACTGTTTTAATTTCAGGGCTTGTTTGTAGCTTTATCATATTTCTCAGCAGCAGAGTTGTGTTTTTGCACCTACAAAACAACTCTGGAACAACTCTGACATCCAAGATTACTGTGTATATTTCCCATAGCAAAGTTTCTGATTTAGGAACATTTGTTGGGTTTTCTTGTACTGGTTCCCAGGATTGAAAATTTGAGTTTTGTAGAAACAACACAGTGGGATGATCTGTATAATACTACTTAAAATGTTAGATGTACAGTAACAAGTCTAAAAAGTCAAGTGCTAACTAATGCTGTTAATTTTACATATTCAGAATGTCTCCATCGGCAAAAAATGTGAATGCATCCTGAAAGCCCTGGCTGTCTGCCTGAAGGAAGACCCCTCAAACCTTGTGAAGGAGTACATGGTAAGTTATTTACCTTTTTCATTAAAACCTAGTGTATGTTTCTCCAAAACCAACTTCTTTGACCCTTGATCTGTTGGTAATTGTTTCTTTTTGTACTTGACATTTTTAGAATGTTGAACATGCTGAAGCCCTAACCTCAACGCGCAACACCACGCTGGGAATCTATGTCATCATACAGATGCTACAGACCTTTACGAATAATGTTGTACTGTTGGCTGTTGCAGTACATTTGTTTTTCGGTACTGAACATGTTACATTCCTTTCAACGTTGGTCTTGCTTTGAATAATTGATGCATTTTCATTACAAAAGAAGACTATTTTGTAAATCCTACCTAAAATCCATGCTTTTATTTTTTATTAGTATGCTTTTTTACACTTTTCTTGTAATAAGATAAGATAACTGATTAAAAAAGTGAAGGCAGTCTTTAGATTTTGTACAAATTATTCTTCTTGGAAAAATTTGTAAAAGTTGTAAAAAAAAAAATGTTAAATGTATTTATGGAATAAACTCAATGAAACTGTATTATTTGTTTTGATTGAATGTGACCATATTAATTTTAGAATAATTGAACTTGATTAACTTAATAGATTAAAACGAAGTCAAGAATGTTAAGTTGATTCAACTAAACAACATTGTATTAACTTTATGTAATTAACTTAAGTTCACTAAAATCAATATTGTTACTTAAATGCAACTTAACTCAGTTACGTGGAACCTGTTGACATAAAAAAGTTAAGTAAGGCCAACATATAATTTTTTTGAGTGTAGGTAAGCAGTTTAAATGATTTAATCATTATACTCCATAAACGTGTAAGTTTGCACTGGTTGTGCAGGAAACAAAAGAGGGGGTTATAATAACACTACTTGCAGTTCAAAGCTCTGCTTTGAGATTGAAGACACTGATTTATTTCTTCAGCACTGTAACACTCAGTGTAAAAATATTCAGCCTTTAAACCTATTTTCTGATTTAACTTGAATGAAAGCCTATGATGAAATTTAATTTATTGTGATATAATTGTTATATTTCTATGTATAAATTTGGGAAAGGCCATAAAATAATATTTGAAATACACTCCTGACAACCAGCTATGGAGTTTTGTCCTCTGTAGAGGACATTATTTTTTAGCGATTTCTCTTGAGACCTCACATGTCTGTCTGGATGTCCTGTAAAGAGCACATTCAGGGCTTTTCAGAGATACCAAATGTTTGGATGTTTCACCATGATCACTCCCTCTCCTTGGTCTTTAAAAATGGCTGACATTAATTTAGTGATCAAATTCAACACCCTTATGGAAATATGATCATATTTTCTAATGATCATTTAAATCGGACTAATTTTCCAATTGTTTGTCATAAATCAACATCTCAGGAAAATGTTA